ATAATATTGCATGAGTTCCTTGTTTTTCAATGCAGCATAGTATTCCATTGTGTGAATATACCACAGCTTCTCTATAGATTTGTTTGTTGATGGGGACAATGGGAATTTGAGGAGGGACCCCAATCGTGAGCACACCCAGACAGCTGAGGTCCGAGTGAGGTCCCACAACTGTTTCACCTGCCCTTGTGATCACCCCAACCCTGTGTCGGTCTCATCCCATTTGGCTCCACACCTGTGCCTACATGTCTGGGCAATCAACTTGTCTTTAATCAGGAGCACTTTGATCTGTCTTATAAACATGAGTTTGATCTCACAGGCTCTGAACTGATATTTCCCTGAAGTCAGAAGTTCAGAGAAACACACAAGTGGGGCAGCTACCCAACTGATCTCTAGAGCATTGTCTTCAGGTCAAGAACATATCAATGTCTCGAAGAAAGCAAGTTATCTCACAAAATACGCAGGAGCAAAGCAAGATGTCACCCCCAAAGGGTGACACAGTATCAGTGGGTTTCCTGAAGCTAGAAAGTCTGATGGAACTTTCTGGCACAGAATTTAAAAGAAGAATTATTGAATATATTCAATGGATAAAAGACAAACTTGACGAATTAGAGGATACTACAAGCAAAAACCAGGAGGATCTAAAAACAAAATGCAGAAAAATGCAGAGAAAACAAATGAGGCATTAGCGGCACTGGAAAAACAAGAAACCACTATCCAAAATATGAGGTCCAATGATTCAGACGCTGTCAACATGATGGAGGGACACATGAGCAGAGTTGAAGAGATGGAACACAGAACCAGTGAAACAGAAGACAGGATTGTCACCACTGATCTATAAGAGCAAAAAGCAGACTCAAAAAAGAAGGAAAAAGAAGAAAACCTAAGAATAATGTGGGACACCATCAAGAGAAATAACATGAGCATCATTGGAATCCTAGAAAAGGTAGAAGCAATTAAAGGCACTGAAAAAGTTGTGGAAGAATTACTAGAGGAGAACTTTCCAGGCATAATGAAGAATGAGAGAATATATATTCAAGAAGCTCAGCGAACACCATATAGACTAGGCCCCAAAAGAAAAACATCAAGGCATATCATAGTTAAATTTGCCAGAACCAAAGATAAGGAGAGAATCCTGAAAGCAGCAAGGGAGAAACAAAGAATAACCTATAAGGGAGAACAGATAAGATTAAGTGCTGATTAACCAGCAGAAACCATGCAAGCAAGAAGAGAGTGGAAGGACATATATCAAACATTCAAAGAACACAACTGTCAACCAAGAATACTGTACCCAGCAAAATTATCCATCAAATATGAAGGAGAGATCAAGGTATTCCCAGAAAAGCAGAACCTAAGGGATTTTGTAAAAAAAAAAAAGACCAGCGTTTCTCTCGTGGCCTAGTGGCAAGAAGTTGCAACTGCAATCTCAGAGATGCACAGTTCGAATCCACCAGATGCTCTGCTGGAGAAGGAGGATCAATCTTCTCCTGTACCAGTCATATCTGATTTGACGGCACACACAAAAAATAATGATATCAAATAAATAAAAAAAAGACCAGCCTTTCAGGAAAGACACAGAGATGTCCTTTTTACAGACATACCACAGAAAGTTGCATGGTCCAAAGTAACTAGCAACACCACCAAAAAGAACTCAACACAATGATAGCAATAAGACCTTGCCTCTCATAATCTCACTGAATGTGAATGGTTTAAATGCACCGCTGAAGAGAAAAAGATTGGATAAAAAAAAAATCCATCAATATGTTGTTGTCTACAAGAGACACGCCTGAAAAATGAAGATAAAGAAAGACTAAAAGTAAAAGGGTGGGGAAAAATATACCAAGCAAATGGCAAAGAAAAAAAAGCTGGAGTAGCGATATTAATCTCTGATGAAATAAATGTCAATGTAAAAACCATCACGAAGGACAAGGAAGGTCGCTACATAATGCTGAAAGGGTCAATAGAACAAGAGGACGTGACACTAATAAATATCTATGCACCAAATGAGAGACCTGCAAAATACATAAAACAAACAGTAACAAAACTGAAAAAGGAAATAGACAACACTACTATTGTACTTGGAGACTTCAGTACATCCCTCTCAAAAAAAGATAGAACTACCAGAAAAAAACTCAACAGAGATACTGAAGAATTAAACCACACAATAAACCAACTTTACCTCATAGACATTTATAGGCCAATGCAACCCCAAAAAGTACAGTATACCTTCTTCTCCAATGTGCATGGAATGTTCTCTGGAATAGATCATATTCTAGGTCACAAGGTAAGCATCTATAAATTAAAAAACATGGAAATAATGTATTATTATTTTCAGACCATAATGCGACAAAATTAGAAATTAATAATAAGAAGATAAAGGAGAAAAAATAATATATTTAGAAGCTGAACAACACCATGCTTGAACATGACTGGGTACTAGAAGAAATAAAAAATGAAATTAGTAAGTTTCTTGAAACAAATGGCAATGGGAACACCACTTACCAAAACCTCTGGGAAACAGCTAAAGCAGTAATCAGAGGTCAATTTATAGCAATAAGCAAACACATCAAAAGGCAGGAAAAACTGACCATTGACTCTCTAACCCAACATCTCCAGCAAATTGAAAAAGAACAGCAAGAAAAACGGACACCCTCTAAAAAAGTGGAAATTATAAAAATTAAGGCAGAAATAAATGAAATGGAAAACCGAGAAACAATTGGAACTATCAACAAAATTAGGAGTTGGTTCCTTGGAAAGGTCAATAAAATCAACAAACCACTAGCAAAACTCACAAAAGAAAAGAAGAAGACACAAATAATCTGAATAAGAGATGAATCAGGCAACATCACAACAGAATCAACTAAAATAAAAAAGCTAACATTAGAGTATTATGAAAAACTATATACCACTATCATTCAGCAATGAAAAACCAGAGGTCATTCCCATGGCACCTGAAAGTTCTTAGCAGAGTTAAAGCTTGTTAAGAAAGACCATAAAAAGAAGAGAGAGAGAGAGAGAGAGAGAGAGAGAGAGAGAGAAGAGAGAGAGAAAGGAAGGAAGAAAGGAAGAAAGACCATCTGCAGGTGCCCAGGCTTCTCCGGGAGGGTGTGCTCTTGGTTTTGTCATGCGTCCTTTACCTGAATTCTGACCTTCATGGTCATACACCAAGGTAAACAAAATGGACAAATAGAAAAGACTGTAATTTAGAACAAACCTAGCAGTAATTCAGTTAAAGTTTAGAACAGTTACATTTTCTTTACCATTCCCAGAAAAGGCCATCTCTGAAGGTCAGACGGTCTTAATTAAGCTAACAGAAAGGGAGTGATGCTCATCTACAGACAGATGCTCATCCTCAGTCGGGAGGCAGCCACCAACAAAGGGTTTCAACCTGGAAAGGAAGTCTTCAAAACTGTCCTATGCTAAGGGTAAAAGGATCTAGTCTGATAAGGAGGCCTCCTTCCACTGTCTTTCTAGATGAAAAAGGTCATTCTCCCTTTAAAAATATTATTAAAGAGGTGGCAAGGAAGATGAAAGAGAATCAGTGCCTCTGAATTGTGATATTGGTCAAGAGTAGTGAGTATCTCATGACTGCCAAAGGAGCACACAAATGTGTCTTGGAAGAAATGCACCAGAGTGCTTCTCAGAGGCAAGGAGGGTGAAACCCCATCACACATACTTGTGACATGTTGTCAGGAGGGGCCAGTCCTTGGAAAAAAGACTTCATTGTAGGATAGGTGGACGTTCAGAGAGAGAGAGGAAGATTTTTCAATGCAATAGATTGACTCAGTGATTGTAACAATATGCGTATCAAAAATCTCCAGGGTGGTGCAAGATAGAGTAAGTTTCAGATTTATTGTTCATAGATAGGGTTGTTGTGACTCATAATTGATTTACTAACAACAAAGTACTGAAGAACAATGGTGTCTTTCTGGAGACTAAGGTGCATCTGATACAGGCCATGGTCTTTGCAATCACTTGTTATGCATCAGAGAGTTAGACAATGACTAGGGAGGGTAGATGGAGAATTGATGCCTTTGACCTGTGGTACTGGAGAAGAGTATTGATGTACCATGGACTGCTAAGAAGACAACTGGTTCATCCTGGAAAGGGTTAATCTGGTCTGCTCCTTGGAGGCAAGGATTCTGAGGCTTTGTCTGACATACTTTGGACATGTTGTAAGGAGGGACTGGTCCTTAGAGAGGGGCATCATGTTTGGGAGGGTGGAGGGACAGTGTAGGAGGGAAGACCCTCCATGAGGTGGATTGATTCAGTGACTGGGCTAATCAGGATGGGTGTATCGGAGACAGTGCAATTGGCACAGGACAGAGCAGAGTTTGGGGCTGTTGTACATAGGGTCGCTATGAGTCGCAAGATACTTGACGGCACATAACAACAACAACAGGCCCTTGGGGTCCTCTTTGCCTCTGCCTCTGTGCCCATCAATGTGCTGAGTGTTGAGTCTCACCTGGTCTTAAGTCTTCTAGAGGTCCTGTTTGTGGGTGGGGGTCTATGATTTGCTCTCTCCTCTGCTCATTCCAGCTGCTCAGTCCTGATCCAGCTCCTGAGTGGTCTGTGTGAGGCAGCTGGGTCCCCAGCTCCTGCCTGACCTCTTGAATGGGCTGCATGAAGAGGTTTCCAAGGGGGCAAACTCCAGTTCCTGGGTACCCAGCTCCTGGGTGTGGCCAGCTGAGGAAGTGGCTGAGGGGGCTAGGCTCTGGTTCCTGAGTGTCCTGTGCAACTCCAGCTTCACTTGGTGGTGAGAGGCTGGCCTGAGCTGAGGGCATAAGTCTGGTGAGGGCTAGCCAGCAGCTGCCCCTTCAGTGCCCGTGACATGGGATGGTCCTGCCCACAGGTACTTCCAAGCCTTCATCGTCCTGGTGCTGGTCCTGCTCCTGCTTGCTGGCTTTTCCCACTGGGATGTGAGGCTGCTCACAACGTAAGTCCTGTAAGCCCACAGGGCCTTTAGTGTCCATTCTGTTCCACGTAGCACTAGTGAGGAAAGGCTGGAGGGGTGGGACAGGTCTCAGGGGCAGCAGGTGCCAAAGAGGGTGTTAAGTGAGGGAATGGTTGCTGCTGTGTTGTGCCCATTTCTGTGGGGGAGGAAGCCTCTCACACAGTGAACCCCACCCTCACTGCAGCCAGGGGACAGACGATGAAACCTATTTTGTGCCCAGTGGGTCACTTGGGGCTGCAGAGTTGAGGAGTGCCCCTGAACCAAAGGAAGCACAGATGGGGCAGCCACTGGATTGAGCGGCATATGCAGTTGTGGAGTCATGCAGTTGGGGTGGTAGGAGTGGAGGTACAGAATTGAGAGCACAGGACTGGGGGCTGTTGGGTTGGGGCACAGAATTGGGGACACATGCTGGAGGTCTTGGTGGGAGTACAGGGCTGAGGTGCAGAGTTGGGGGTACCTGCTTGAGTGAGGAGATAGGGTTGGGGTCCTGGGTTAAGGGTACAGGATTGGGTGTTGATGGCTGGGTGGGCGTGCAGAGCTAAGGGTCTCAGGCGGGAAGGCACCGTAGCTGAGACGGGCCCTCCATGCTGTTCCTTCTCAGGCCACTCCAAGAGGCCTCAGAGTCCCCCATCACCAACATCATGTTCCTCAAGACGCACAAGACGGCCAGCAGCACTGTGCTCAACGTGCTCTTCCGCTTCGCTGAGGCGCACAACCTGTCGACTGCGCTCCCTGAGGGCAGGCGCTTCCACTTGGGCTACCCCTGGCTCTTCCTGGCACGCTACGTGGAGGGCAGCGAGAAGGGGCTCCAGGGCCAGGAGAGGCGCTTCAACATCATGTGCAATCACCTGCGGTTCAACCCATCAGAGGTGCGATGTGCCTGGCGGGGTGGGTGGAGCTTCCTGAGGGCTGCAGCTCAGGTGTGTCCTTCAGTGGGTAGGTGGGGGCGAGGGGAGAGAGCATAGCCAGGAGAGTCACGTACCCTCTTCCTCTGCACCCCACAGGTGCAGAAAGTCATGCCCAAGGACACCTTCTACTTCTCCATCCTGCGGAACCCGGCCTCCCAGCTGGAGTCTTCCTTCATCTACTACAAAAACTTCGTGCCGGCCTTCCAGGCTGTGAGGAACCTGAGCACCTTCCTGGCCTCCCCGTGGACCTACTACAATGAGAGCCTCGGCCTGAGGAACGTCTATGCCCGGAACAACATGTGGTTCGACTTTGGCTTCAACAACAACGCCCCACCGGAGGAGAGCTACGTGCGTGCGCGCATTGCAGAGGTGGAGCGGCACTTCCAGCTGGTACTCATCGCCGACTACTTCGATGAGTCCATGGTGGTGCTGCGCCACACGCTGCGCTGGACGCTGGACGACGTCGCCTACTTCAAGCTTAATTCGCGCAGCCAGCGCAGCGTCGCCAGCCTCACGCTGCAAGACCGGGAGCGCGCCCAGCGCTGGTGTGCGCTCGACTGGAGCCTCTACCAGCACTTCAACCGCACCTTCTGGGCCCGGGCGCACGCCGAGCTGGGCCCGCGACGGCTGAGCGCAGAGGTGGCGCAGCTGCGGGCGCGGCGGCGCGAGCTCACCAACTTGTGTGTGCAGGACGCGAAGCCTTCGAACAAGTCACAGATCGTGGACCTGCAGCTGAAGCCCTTCCAGTCCGGAGAGGCGGACATCCTTGGCTACAATCTGCGGCCGGGTCTGGACAAGGCCACCCTGCGGCTGTGCCAGCGGATGGCCATGCCAGAGCTGCAGTACATGGCACATCTGTACACCCTACAATTCCCGGAGAAGCCTCCCAAGAACCTCCAGTTCCTGGAGGGGTAGCGCTAGCTAGGAGCTTTGATCTCCTCTCTGGGTCCCGGGTGGTGCTTGGTCGAGGACTTTGCCCGACTGCTCTCCTTGAGGGTGATGGCACCTACGAGAACCTCTCCCTGGGTCCCCTTCTTCTCCCACAGCCTCAGCTAGGGCAGCCTACTCGGTAACCTCAGAACAGGGAGCATGAACAGGACAAGTGTTAAAAGGTCACATGGTTGGGCCATACGGTCCTGTCTCTCCCTGCTATGCCTTGTGGACACTGGCGCGCTGTAAGTGTGTGGCAGCCTGTGTCCAGCAGGTCTACTGGCGTTGGTTTTTCAATGATAGGTGCGCCCTCCGTGTCTCTGTGTAACATCTGTTGATTCTTGCATGATTTAAAACTTTTCATCGTGCTCTTGCACACTCCACAGACTACAGTACAGTGTAAACAACTTTTCTATGCACTGAGAACAAAAAAATGTGTGTGAATTGATTTATTGTGCTGTTGCTTTATTGAGATGGTCTGGAACTGACTGAACATGAGTCTATGAGACTGACACAGTATCCGTTAGAGAAAATCTGTAGAACTTTGGGTATCTGGGGCTGGGATCCTGAAGACTGTGACCCTGGTGACTAGAGGCCTACACACAGCACCTTAACCTAGGGAATCAGGGCACCTGGAACCACAAAGGGGCAGGGTGCCCTGATATGCTTTCCTGGGGTCCAGCCTTGGGGAACCCTGGAACCAACCTAGGAGCGGGTGCACTGACGTGCTCTCTTGGACCCCCCCTAGAACCACCCAGGAGCAGGGTGCCCTGATGTACTCTCCTGGGGTTCAGCCTTGGGGGACCCCCAGGAACCACCTAGGCTGGGGGGGTGTGCTGTGATGTACTCTCCTGGGGCCCAATTTGGGGAACCCCAGGAATCATCTGGGGGGATGCCCTGGCATTCTCTACTGGGGTCTAGCCTTGGGGGACCCCCTAGAACCACCCAGGAACCATACCCTAATGTACTCTCCTGCAGTCAAGCCTTAGGAGACCCCCAGAAACCACCCAGGAGGGAGAGTGCCTGGATGTTCTCTATTCGGGTGAAACCTTGGGGAATACCATGGAACCACTCAGGGACTATCCTCAGTGCTCTTCTCGGGTCCAGCCTTGAGGTACCTCCAGAACCACCTAGGAGGGAGTTGCCCTGATGCAATCTCCTGAGGGCCAGCCTTGGGAGGACCCTCTGGAACCATCCAGGAAGGGGCTGCCCTCACACATTCTCCTGGAGATATATCCTTGGGAGGGAAACTCTCTTTTTCCCACTCACTGTGAAGTGTTCCAATCCTGAGACCCCACACCAGGACCCTGACCCCTGAGGGGCTTGTGTGTAGCTGTAGGAGTGTCTGAATGAGAGGCTGGAAAGGAAGAAGCCTCTGGACTTCTCAGGGGATCAGATAACCTGAAAAGACATCTCCTGGAACCCTAATTAATTCAGGGACTTCTGGAGGATTGGCCAGTGAGACCAGAAGAGACACTGGTCAGGTTGAGAATGAAACAGCACTTGGAGGTTTAAGAAATATCCTCCAATGGAAAGAGGCCCTGAATAAACAAAGCACTCCTTAAAAAGAGAAACAGGGTAGGAGGCATCTCACTCCCTGATTTTAAATCCTACTAACACTGCCATGGTGGTCAAGACAGCATGGTCCTGGTACAACGACAGACACATAGATCAATGGACTAAATTGAGAATTCAGAAATCGGCCCATCTACCTATAGTCAACTGATTTTTGACAAGGAGATGAAATCAGTCAAGTGGGGAAACAATAGCCTTTTTATCAAATGGTGTTAGCAAAATTGGAAAACTATCTGCAGAAAACTCAAGTAAGATCCACACCTTACTTCATACACAAAAACAAACTCAAAATGGATGGAGGACCTAGGACTAAAACCAAGGACTACAAACTTCATTAAAGAGAAGCTTGGAGGAACTCTAGAAATCCTAATCCACAAATAAAGCCTTGCAAGCGTCCTGAAAAATCTATAGCCAAGAGAGGATAAAATAGATGAATGGAACCTTTTAAGAATCAATTCCCTATGCACATCCAAAAACTTCTCCAACAGGGGAAAAAGGGAAACCACAGACTGGGAAAAA